TTTGTGTAGCAGGTTTAACCTCCTCAGAGTTCATTAGTGCCGATGATCGATGCAGAGCCCCTCCACCCCTGACTGAGGGGACATTCTACTAGTTGTAAGTCGACGTATGATCTCAGAAGTTATGAAAATATTCTATGATGGTTGAAAAGTTAGTGTTGGTTTAAAAGTCGCTTCTTTTTGCAGTTTAATTCACTGACATCAGGGTTCAGATCCCTGTGATGTCAGGAAGGCGTCCAGCATGAAAACGCTGCCAAGTCTGTGAGGAAACATGTTGACTCACATGTAGACCCTGAAAAACAGCAGCTGAAGAGACACAAACAAGCTAATTTCCAGTGATTCGTTTTCAAAAGTTTAATTCACAATAAATAAACTATATTTCAGTGTCAATTCAAGCTTTATGTGGCTGAACCGAAACGAGAAACACGGTGAATGAACTTAGAGACGGTGGCATTTTATTAACAAACAAAAGTTAACCTTAACAACACCCGCTAAAGAACAACAAACATAACGCCACGTGTTTCTCATGCGTGTCCCGCAGAGTTCAAAGGGGTAAATGTGGAAGGAAGCGAAACACGTGGATCATATTTAGAGAAGCCATAACATGTTCTTTCACCATGAAGGGATCCAAATCTACAAGCGTACATGTGTTTTATTAGTTGTTTTTTTTATTAGTGAAAATTAGTTTACACATCTATCTATCATCTTCTATCAGGCTACTATTAGGGGCTTCCTGCCTGATAGAAGAGGAATTTCAGTTATATATATATATATATATATATATATATATATATATATATATATATATATATATATATATAAATACTGATATTAATTAATATCACCAACTGATTCATTCATTCAACGGTTCCTTCCAACAGTCAGTTTCTATCATGGAGCAGTGAAGAAAAAAAGGCGGTCATGATTTTCTTAAGAGATCTGACCCACTTGCAGTAAACCACTCAGAGAAATCAGGGTAGAAGTTTAACAGGTTTAATGAGGAGATTAATGGGGTTGGATTCAGGAAACTCAGGGTACTGGTGAACGGGAACTGGAAGTGGGTAGGGAAGTATCCTAGGTTAGTTCAGGGTGTGTGGGAACTTTGAACGATGACTTTGGAGAAACAGAGAAAACGTGACTCACGTTCGTGGAGAACAAACTTTCTTCCCAGAATCCAGTATTGTGTGGGTTAACCAGAGGGAGGAACTCGTTGGAGGGCGGACAGGTTTTCATTTGGTTGGTTCCTGAGGCACTATGGAGCGGACTGTCACTTGGAATCCAGGAGGTCTTGAACGGAACTTGTGGAGATTAATCCCCTGCTCAGTGTGAGACTCAAACAATCCTTCCAGGGGAAGAAGGCCAAAAACATCCAGCTTGCAGGAAGGCTTCCTGCCGAAAGACAGGAGAGACAAGGACTCAGTTAGACTCAGCTAATCTCAGCTTGGCTAAAGTACCCAAAACTGGCAAACACTCTGGCGTCGAGATATTGACAGTCCACCGCTAATGAACCAACCAGCCGCAGATGTGCGAGAGGACCAAGCAGAAGAGGGCACCACCTGGTGGTGGAGGAAGAGAAAGACACAAAAAACACAACCCACACAAACTGGATTCCTAACAAAGGCTTGGCTGGAATGCTAGCGAGCTGCTAGAGCTCGGTGCTGCTCCATGATTGCTGTTTGATATTTATTTATCTGTTCACAAGATGCAAGACGGAGGAGAGAATCCATGTTTAGGCATTTAAGGAATTGATGTGATTTAACTTTGACAGATTTAGGACAAGCCGACTGGAAGCAGCTCTCCATTAATAAAAACAAACTACTAGGAGTTTATATGAAAAACTGTGCTAAGCTAGCTAAAGATTAGCATGGCCGATTGACGGCATCATCAGCTGAGGAATGCATCAGTTTGATCCAGATGCTGCTTTTCTTTATCTAGCCTATAATGTTTATTTCTCATGCAGCAAATAAGTTCATTTATTCACGACCTTTAGAGTGGAGGTCTTCAAGAGGGGGTCCACGACCCCCTGGGGGGTCCACGGAGGTACAGCATGGGGGTCGCAAAAGTTTTGGTTAATTAGACTTCTTTTATATTCCCTCCTGCAATTTTTCCCACTAATTGAAATTTCTTTAAATCCACATTAACATGAATCCAACAGACTGTAGTAAACAGATAAATGGAGGCAGAAGATGTCTTTCAGTCATCAATGCTCACATTCAGAGACACACAGGAGCTCTTTAAAGCTGGGCACCGTTTCATTCACAACACCTGTCCCATCAACCAGGAATCAGAAATACTTTAATAATCCCAGGGAGGGATTACTTTAGTTACATTACTCCATCTGTAATAGAGTGACTATAGGACCAGTTTGATAGAACACTATTTCATACAATATATATATATAATTAGAGGGTCCCTGCTCCATCTCAGGGAAAACCTTGAAGACCCCTGCTTTACAGGCTTAAACACAGTGTCTCCTAATTCAATAGTGTCTGCATGTAAATCATATATTAACAGGTTTCCAGTGATGATTTGAAGCTTTCATTTTGTTTCTGTATAATCAGGAGGACTGTTCCTTCACTAGTTGAGGGTCAGAAGTACAGAGGGACCATTCAGGACACAGAAACAGAGGGAACTGGGAGAAGACAGGGACTGGGACTGGAAGTACACTGGAAAAAATCAAAATCTAGGTAAGTAATTTTTTCTTAAAATAAGTGCATTTGTTCTTGAATCGAGGAGGTAAAAATGACATTTTGCCAATAGTACAAGACAATTTACATTTAAATTAAGAAAATACAATTGTGTGGTCTTATTTCAAGTGCACTTTATCTAATTATCTTATTTTAATAGTAAAAATATTAATTCCATTGGCGGATCATTTAATTTACCAACTCAAATTAAGGGTAAACACACAGTGCAAGATCCTTACCTGCCACCAGGTGGTTCCCCTCCACCTTTTTTAAAATATTTTTTTTAGCTAAGTATCCCCTAAACCAGGGTAGATGTTCTGTTTGAAATGAGTCAGGTTCAGCGTTCATATATAAGTATTTCTGTACTTTTTCTTTATTTTTATCATATACAGATATATATACAGAAGAGCTATATGTGTATATATATTTTATCTATTATTATATTGTATAGTTGGATGTGTGTATATATCATGTAAAACTGTAACTGGAGCGTGTAACAAAAGTAATTTCCCTCTGGGATTATTAAAGTATTTCTGATTCTGATTCTGAGTACCTTGGATTAATTTATAAAGTAACAAAAGTAAGAAAATGAGTCTCATAGCTGTGGAGGAAAGGAAAGTATTGCAGCTTGTTGTTTAAAATAACCTTTTTCTTACTTCCTGTTTATAATTCAGTTCAATTCAGTTTATTTCTATTGCGCCAATTACCAACACATGTCACCTCAACACTGCAAAAAATAGAAACCTCAATAAGTTATTTTTTCTTAAAATAAGTGAATTTTTCCTTGAATTGAGGACGTAAGTAAGACACTTTGCCAATGGAACAAGACAATTTCCTTTTAAAATAAGAAAAAACAATTTTATCGTCTTATTTCAAGTACATTATTATCTAACTATCTTATTTTAAGAGTAAAAATACTCATTCCATTGGCAGATCATCTTATTTACCTGCTCAAATTAAGGGTAAATATACTTAATTTAAGAATTTTTTACTTATTTCTGGATTGTTTTTGCAGTGAAGGCACTTTCCAGTTCACAATGCAAAAACGACCTAGAAATGAGTACAAAAATACTTAAATTAAGGGAATTTACTCTTAATTTGAGCAGGTAAATAAGATTGTTTGCCAATGGAATGAGTATTTTTACACTTAGAACAAGATAATTAGATAATATTCACTTGAAATATAGTAAGACAATGCAATTATTTTTTCTTATTTTAAATGTAGATTTTCTTGTTCCATTGGCAAAGTGTCTCACATACCTCCTCAATTTAAGAAAAAAATACTTATTTAGATTTACATTTTTTGCAGTTCACCAGTTCATCCAGTCAGATTCATTCAGTTTTCTAAGGAAAACCAGTTGATTGCATCGACTCATTGACTCGAAGACAGTCCCTCACACTAAGCTCTTATTTTAGATGTGAACTATCTTGTTCCATCTTTTAGCACCTCAGTTCAAGAACAAATGCACTAATTTTAAGCAAAAAGTGACATATTTAGATTTCTATTTTTTCCAGTGTCAGGCTTCACTGGAAAAAAATATCTAAAAATAAGTAAAAGTTTTCTTAAATTAAGTGTATTTACCCTTGATCTGCGTAGGTAAATGAGATGATTTGCCAATGGAATGAGTATTTTTACACTTAAAATAAGATAATTAGATAAAAAGCACTTGAAATGAGGGAATGTAATTGCGTTTTCTTATTTTAAGTGTAAATTGTCTTGTTCCATTGGCAAAATGTCTCTTTTACCTCCTCAATCCAAGAACAAACTCACTTATTTTAAGATAAAAATTACTTGTCTAGGTTTCCATTTTTTCCAGTGTTTACATAGAAAACGGCTCATTTATCTGTGAAAGTGGACATTTTGACTCCGCTCTAAAGTCATCACAGAGACTCTGAGCAGCACAGATAAAAGTTTAAACTAACAATCATGTTATTGGACTGTGTGAGAAACCAAGAAGATGGGAGAAGATGCAGATACCTGCAGAGAGATTAACAGGCTGGAAGCATCTGCTGTTGTTGCTCTGCCTTCTTTAACACCATGGTTCTGTTTATAGGTTTCTTCTTGGTGATTTATGGAGGTTTTTAGTAAAGGTTCTGGTTCCTAGGGAACACTGGACATAACCCCCCCACATTCCTCCTCCTTTTTATTCTTTTCTCCTTGTCGAGGAGTCTCACACGGAAAACATAAAACTGTGCAGAATTATCACGGTTATAACTTTCCTGCCGCCAGATGGCATTCACAGAAAGTCTAAGAGTGGGAGGGAGAGAATCAGTGGGTTAGGATGGGAGGTGTTTCCCAGAAGAGGAGGAGAAATGGGGGGTGGGGGGGTGCATAAGAGGAGAGCAGAGAAAATGGACAGAAAGCTTTCCATACAGACTCATGTGGTCCCGGCTTCTCCAAGTAAAGCCCTTTATGCTCTCCTCCACTCTGCTCTCACCTCGTTCTCGCTCCTTTCTCACCAACAGATCCTCTGTCTGTGTTTGCAGATGTTTGGGTGACTTTTTCCAGCTCTGAAGAGATGTGGAAACTGCTCTCAGCACCAGAGGAAGCCGGATAGATCAGCCTGGAAGCAGACAGCTCCAAGAGCCAGCCCTGAGCCAGCAGAGTAAGCTTCACCAACCTTACATTTAGATGTTCCTGCTCTACCAGCAGCTGCTCAAGTCTTCAGCTTCTGCTTTTAAACAGACACATTTCTTGGTTTAAAGCTTTAGTTTGTGGCAGAATAAGCTGCTCCAGTCTTTTGTTTGACTTCATAACTGAATTTAAAGAGCTGGTTTTGTTCTGTGACTTTAAAAGAAAGCACAGTATTTATTTCATTGAGGAAAAGTTGGAACATCCTTTATTAAAAGCATCATTTTCTGCAGCGGTGACTTTTAAAATCACGCCGGTCTGCAAGATCTGGAGGAAATGTGAGGGTTTAATGTGAGCCGCAGATGAAAAGGTCTGAAAAATGTACTAAAAAACAGATCACTGGTTCATCTCCAGTTCAGGACTTTGTTTTTTTGGAGGGTGACTCACAGATCAATTTAGAGCAGCCTAGGAAAAGGCAAACAGTTCTTTGGAAGAGCTGTGGAACAGGACCTGAGCAGAACACTGGAAAAAATGGAAATCTAGATGAGCCATTTTTTCTTAAAGTAAGTGCATTTGTTCTTGGATTGAGGAGGTAAAAGAGACACTTTTACGCTTAAAATAAGAAAAGAAAATTGCATTGTCTTATTTCAAGTGCATTTTATGTAAATATATTATTTTTAAGAGTAAAAATACTCATTCCATTGGCAAACTATCTAATTTACCTTCTTAAATTAAGGGTAAATACACTTAATTTAAGGAATTTTGACTTATTTCTGGATGGTTTTTCCAGTGAAAAGCAGTGAGAATGATTAGAAAGCTTGAATGCATTGGAAAAATATTAATCTAGATTAGTCCTTTGTCCTAAAAATGAGAAGGTAAGAGACATTTTGCTAATGGAACAAGACAATTTACATTTAAAGTAAGAAAACACAAGTATATTGTCTTATTCCAAGTGCATCTTATCTAAATATCTTATTTTAAAAGTAAAAATATTAATTCCATTGGGAAATCATCTCATTTACCTTCTCAAAGTTAAGGGTAAATACACTTAATTTATACATTTTGTATGTATTTCTAGATCTTTTTTACAGTGTATGTGTTGATCTAGAACACTTTAGGAGGAATGAGGATTCTGCACTGGAAAAACGACCTAGAAATAAGTACAAACATTCTTAAATTAAGTGTATTTACCCTTAATTTGAATATTTGAATAAGGTGATCTGCCAATGGAATGAGTGTTTTTACTCTTAAAATAAGATATTTAGATAAGATGCACTTGAAATAAGACAATGTGATTTTGTTTACTTATTATAAAGGTAAATTGTCTTGTTCCGTTGGCTTAATGTCTCTTTTATCTCCTCAACCCAAGAACAAATGCACTTATTTTGAGAAAAAGTGACTTATCTAGATTTAGATTTTTTCCAGTGAGACAGAAGAGCCGATTCAGAGCTGAAAACCTTGTCAACTACAAAAACCATCTAGAAATAAGTACAATTTATTAAATTAAGTGTTATTACCCTTAATTTGAGCAGGTAAATAAGATAATTTGCCAAAGAAATTGATATTTTTACTCTTAAAATAACATAATTAGATAATATACACTTGAAATAAGACAATGCAATTGTTTCCTTATTTTAAATGTTTATTTTCTTGTTTCATTGGCAAAGTGTCTCACTTACCTCCTCAATTTAGGACAAAGAACAGTTATTTAAAAGAAAAAGACTCATTTAGACTTTATTTTTTGCCGTGTAAACATCTGTTTGGAGATGGTGGATGGTTCAGGAATGACTTATCTGAGAAATCTCTACCTCATCTGGATTCCGTTAAGAACGGCAGAACTATTTGTGTCCAGAATCTATTCTAGACTCTCTTCAGCTCCAGGAATCGGGTCGATGATGTTCATTTGTTTAGAAAACAGCTGTTAAACTGTGATGCAGCACCTTGCATCTCATCATGTTTGTCTGGTCTGAACGCTTGAACTGAGCCAGAGAGGAGCAGATGATGCTGCTTCATCATCATCACTGAAAGGAAAAGTCATATTCAGAATTCAAACTTCTGAAAGCACGTGGGCATTGTCAGTTTCACTATAGCTCTGGTGAATTTCAATGGTGAAGTCCTCTGGAAATATTCAATAATTGTTGTTGATTGCAGATGTGTCTAGTAGTTCCCATTGATTTAGCTTGGAAAGCGGGGAGAATGGCGCTACACTGCAAAAACGATCTAGAATTAAGTAAAAATTTCTTAAATTAAGTGTATTCACCTAAATTTGAGTAGGTAAATGAGGTGGTTTGCCAATGGAATGGGTAATTTTACTCTTAAAATAAGATAATTAGTTAATATGCACTTGAAATAAGACAATGCAATTGTGTTTTCTTATTTTAAGTGTAAATTGTCTCTTTTATCTCCTCAATTCAAGAACAAATGCACTTATTTTAAAGGAATAGTACACCCAAAACATGATTAGCCTTCATTTTCTACTCACCCCCATGCTGAACAACACCCTGGAGTACTTTTTTGATATCTCAAATGCATCTGGAGATCTGGGAGGCTTCTTGCTGTCTGCTGACATTCAAATAATGGAGGTCTATGGCGCCCGAGGCAGAAAGGTCCATAAAAGTCCACAAAAAACGTGTCAATATTCCTCCATACTGCTCGTCCAATGTATTCCAAGTGTCCTGAGTGGGTAGCATCCAGAATTTACTCGAAACAAAGTCATTTAGAATGTTTTTAGAGCATAAACAGTAGTGTATAGGATTTCCTGAAAGCACGTTCACGAGTCTACGGAAACCGCGGCAGACCAAACCAGATGAAAGTGCGCATTCAGCGCCTGCTCTGCCGATAATGCAAGCGTAGAAGAAGAAATGTGCTGTTTACCTGTGCAAAGAAAGAAACAACGAAAGAAAAATGTCTGAGGACTTCAGTGTTGAGGAAGAGCATGAGTTCTTTGCTGAGCTGAATGCGCACTTTCATCTGGTTTGGTCTGCCGCGGTTTCCGTAGACTCGTGAACGCGCTTTCAGGAAATCCTATACACTACTGTTTATGCTCTAAAAACATTCTAAATGACTTCGTTTCGAGTAAATTCTGGACGCTACCCACTCAGGACACTTGGAATACATTGGACGAGCAGTATGGAGGAATATTGACACGTTTTTTGTGGACTTTTATGGACCTTTCTGCCTCGGGCGCCATAGACCTCCATTATTTGAATGTCAGCAGACAGCAAGAAGCCTCCCAGATCTCCAGATGCATTTGAGATATCAAAAAAGTACTCCAGAGTGTTGTTCAGCATGGGGGTGAGTAGAAAATGAAGGCTAATCATGTTTTGGGTGTACTATTCCTTTAAGAAAAAAATTACTTATCTAGATTAAGATTTTTTGCAGTGTAGGCTTACCGCACCGTGACGTCACTGCTGGAAGATGGCAGGAGGGAGGGGTTACTATATTTGGGCAAAAATGGCCGCTCCCAGTGATCACAACGAAAATGATTATTTTTATTTTTTTACTGATTAACGCTAAATTCATTAAATCACTGCAAACGTATTCGTTTTAGGTATAAATAATGATCCATTGATTTTCCTTTAACAACAGGAACCGTTTTTTTTATGCTTATGAATAAACTACAAACCCTAAATCTGAGTTTTAAATAATTTGCTTAAATAAATGAGGTAAACAAACTTTAACAGTGGGAGAAAGTCTGGCTGCTAGGAGAGAGAAATGAGGATTGAATCTGGACCTCTGGACCCGAGCCTGAAGGTTCTGGCATAGCTGGGATGATGGGTGTGAAAACTGGTGGGCCAGAGGTGCTGAGAAACGAGGAAAGGAGGGTCGGGCTGGGTGGCTGCGGCGCTGCATGATGTCACAGGAATGCATCGAGCCTCGCCTTTAACAGGCCGAGAGTGTGAGCACGGTCGGCCACATCACAGGTTTCACCAGCCTGGTTAACGCCTTCAAACACAGAGCACTTCAAAATCAAATCAGAAGGACTCATAACATCAATATTACCACTAAAGCATCGTCTCTGGGTTATTTTAAATAAGAATGATGATGGCAGGGATTGGTAGAAGCAGAACAGATGTAGAGTGAAGGATAATGAGTGACATGATGTGTGGGAAAGCTCGGCCCCAGAAACAGCTGGAAAGGCAATGACTAACATCAGCAGTGAGGTAAGATGGTGGAGGCTGGCTGCATGAAGGGCAGCTGCTCCTCCAAACCCAGCTCACTGAGCTCATACTTATTTATGGATCATGCTCACTGCATCATGCTTCCACATCTGCGGATTAGAAGGCAAACTTTATTTTAGCCTCTGGTCGGACATTTTAGTTTCATATTAGCCATAAAATCCCGTCTGTGGTTCAGTTCCAGAACCATCTGCAGTGAAACCGTTGGTTCTGGTCGCTCCTGAAAACCAGTGCTTCTCCAACGCAAATACTTCATAATAACACGGAAACTGTTTCTCTGAGTGGAAACAGGATGGCAGCTCCAGCAGGCCTTACAGCAGAGAGATCATTCAGAAGGACGGAGCCTCTGTTCCTCTGCAAGGCTGGAAGAAACTGGAATAAACTGGAATAAACTGGAATAAACTGGAATAAACTGGAATAAACTCATTATATAACTGGAATAAACTGAAATAAACTGGAATAAACTGGAATAAACTCATTATATAACTGGAATAAACTGAAATAAGCTGGTATAAACTGGAATAAGCTGGAATAAACTGGAATAAACTCATTATATAACTGGAATAAACTGAAATAAGCTGGTATAAACTGGAATAAGCTGGAATAAACTGGAATAAACTCATTATATAACTGGAATAAACTGAAATAAGCTGGAATAAACTGGAATAAGCTGGAATAAACTGGAATAAACTCATTATATAACTGGAATAAACTGAAATAAGCTGGAATAAACTGGAATAAGCTGGAATAAACTGGAATAAACTCATTATATAACTGGAATAAACTGAAATAAACTGGAATAAACTGGAATAAGCTGGAATAAACTGGAATAAACTCATTATATAACTGGAATAAA